TTGTTTCTTAGAAACTATTTGTTCAGGGGGAAAAAAATGGAAAGTTGAGAGATGAAGTCAGTTTTCTTCTGACATTTCCAAGGATGAATACATATGAAGGCAAGCAGGCAATCTCTCCTTTTGCAGTCAATCCCAAGAACCGAGAAAGTCCTTCAGAGTTGGTGAACAAGTGAGAAAGTCAGAAGACTGATCCCAGGAAAGAAGAGGAATTATCATGAATAGATTACAAGTTCATGCTTCTCAGCACTGCACTGGAGTTTCAATTTGAGACAATGTCTCAAAGTCAAAGTCAAAGGCATCAAATACCGGCAAGGTGCAGATGATTAAAGTCACAAAAAATGGGTTTAAGTTACTAGGATTTAAAAAATATATAGTTGATCAGATGAAAAAGTTTTAGAAAAACTCTTGAATTATATGTGGCTAGGATAAATTTACAAAAGAGCTTATAGCATTTTTTCTGGTTTCATAGTTGAAAAGGCTAACAAAATGTTAAATGTTTTCCTCAATGTGAAATCATTAGGAAACGAATAAGTGTAAAGTTCTCATAACTCTGAACTTAATGAGGGTTAAGTTACTTTATATTTTCAATGTAGTGAAAAGGTCAGCAAACATTTCTGTAAAGGGCTATATTGAGAGAGAAATAAGAAGAACCCTTGAAGGACTTACTCCAGCTGAACATATTAATAGTGGTTTACAGAGCTGATCCCCATTTCACAATGGTGAAGGCTGAAATTAAATGATTTGTTCAATGTTGTATCTTTAGGGTGGAAGGGCCCAAATAAAGCCATGTCTTTCGGCTGTTAACTCAGTTCTGTTTTAACTTCACCACAGCATGTGCAGCACTCTGTATACCAAAATCAGGAGAGGGGTCCAAACAGGAATGTGAAAAGATGCTCAACATCATCAATTATCAGAGAAATGCAAACCACAGCTACTCTGATAAATCTCACATCAGTCAGAATGGACATCGTCAAAAAGTCTGCAAATAACAAATGCTGGAGAGGATATGGAGAAAAGGTAACCCTCCTACACTGTGGTGGGATTTTAAAGTTGGTGCAGCCACTGTGGAAAACAGTATGGAGGTTCATCAAAAAATCTAAAAACAGAATTACTATATGATTCAGCAATCCCACTCTTGGGCACATATTCAGACAAAACTATAATTCAAACAGATCATGCAACCCTATGTTCATATTCAGCACTATTTATAACAGCCAAGACATGGAAACAACCTAAATGTCTATCAACAGAGGAATGGATAAAGAAGATGTGGTACATATACACACTGGAATACTACTCAACCAATCAAAGGAACAAAATAATGGCTTTTGCAGCAATGTGGAGGGACCTAGAGATTGTCTCACTGAGGGAATTCAGACAAAGACAAATACCATATGATATCACTTGTATGTAGAACCTCAAAGATGACACAAATGGACATATCTCTGAAATAGAAACAGAATCACAAACATAGAGAATAGACTGGTGGCTGCCAAGTGGGAGGGGAAAGGGGAAGGGAAGGATTGGGAGTTTGTGATTATCAGATGCAAACCATTACATGTGGAATGAATAAACAATAAGGCCCCACTGTATAGCACAGGGAACTGTATTCAGTATCTTCTGACAAACGCTAACGGAAGAGAATATGAGAAAGAAATGTGTGTGTGTGTGTGTGTGTGTGTGTGTGTACACACACACACATATATAATTGAGTCACTTTGATGTACAGCAGTAATTAACACAACATTGGAAATCAACTATACTTGAATAAAGATTTTTTTTTTTTACAATTTTAAGAAGGCCTCCAGAAAGCTCTGAGTCCAGTGGGGCTCCACCTAACCTTTCCTCCCTCCAGGCTGAGTGCAGCCACAGTTGTGTGGGAATGCTTGCTCTCTGTGTTGAGAGTAGGAGCTGAAGCCTTCTCCTTGTTCTCTCAAGATACAGTTGGCCAGCACATATAATATCAAGCACCTACTGTCTGCCAGACATTCTAGTTGCTGGGATACAGTGTGGCTGATTCATTTCCCTCAAGGGAGGTTCATACTAGTTGAGGAAGGCAATCAACAAGCATCAAATAACTAAATCAATCAATCACATCCAATTCTGATCACTGTTAGGAAGAAAATAAAACAGAACACCATAAAAAGTAACTAGCATTGGTAATGTAAGGAGGAGATGGAAGCAGGCTGGGTTATTCAGAAAGGCTGGTTGGAGCATTCATCAGGCAGGAAGATCTCTGAAGCAGCGGTTAACAATACCCCAAACAGTAGCTTGAATATTGGAAACACGTGATGAGGTCATATTTCCAATATATGTTATTGTGGTGGACCAGGTTATCCACCCAGTGTTTTGAATCTGGGCCAAGAAATGTGGACAGGCAGAAAAGGAGACAATCTCAGGGTTTGGGGTGAGGGTGGGCTTTCCTGGGACAGAGAGAATAAGGATGGCACTGGAGTGGTATTACCTCTTAACCCTGAAGAAGTGAAGTGAAAATCATTCAGTCATGTCTGACTCTTTGCTACCCCATGGACCATTGAGTACATGGAATTCTCCAGGCCGGAATACTGGAGTGGGTAGCTTTTCCCTTCTCCAGGGGATCTTCCCAACCCAGGGATCAAACCCAGGTCTTCCACATTGCAGGCGATTCTTTACCAGTTGAGCCACAAGGGAAGCCCAAGAATACTGGAGTGGGTAGCCTATCCCTTCTCCAGCGGATCTTCCCAACCCAGGAATCAAACCAGGGTCTCCTGCATTGCAGGTGGATTCTTTACCAACTGAGCTATCAGGAAAGCCATAAACTTCTCTCATATTATCTTAAAAAGGGAGAGGCAATGGTTGATACATCCAACACTTAGGTACCAAGGAAATATTTTACATGAATTAACTCACATCAGAGGATTACCTGACAGAGACTACTGTCCACATTTTATAAATAAGGAAATTGAGGCAGAGGTGGCTTGAGTAACTGTCCTGTGAATGACTAAATAATGCCTACAATGATGTTCATATCCTAATCCTCAGCACCTGTGCAGATGTTATCTAACATGATAAAAGGATGTTCTTCAAATGTGATTTAATTACGAATTTTGCCATGGAGAGATTATTTGGGATCTTCTGGATTTGCCCAATGTAATTATAAGGTTCTTTATAAGAGTCAGATAGGAAATGGAAGCCAGAGGTAGGAGTGATGTGGCCAGGAGCCAAGGAATGTAAGGAGCTTCTAGAAGCTGGAAAAGGCAAGAAAACAGATTCTCCCCTCTGGCCTCCACAAGGAATTTCACCTTGATTTTAGTCCAATGAAAGTAATTTCAGACTTCCAGCCTCCAGAACTGTGTGTATGTGTGTGTGTGAAAGTCACTCAGTCGTGCCCGACTCTTTGCGACCCCATGGACTGTAGCCTGCCATGCTCCTCTGTCTGTGGAATTCTCCAGGCCAGAATACTGGAGTGGGTAACCATTCCCTTCTCTAGGGGATCTTCCCAACCCAGGGATCAAACCCAGGTCTCCTGCATTGCAGGTGGATTCTTTACCATCTGAGCCACCAGCGAAATTGCCTTAAGTCAACTAAATTGGTGGTAATTTGTTTCAGCAGCAGTAGGAAACTAATACATCGCCCAAGGCCACTGGAGCTTCAAAGTGTCAGGGCCAGAGTTAAAATCAAGGCTATCTGGTGCCAGTGTGAAGATTTAAGCACTGTGTTATGTGGCTGCTCACAGGCAGAACAAAATTTCAGGTTGAATGCAAAGTAAGTGTCCCCGAGCTTTTCCTCTTATGCTCAGAATTCCATGTCTCAGAGAAACTACAACCAACCAACCAACCAACCAGAGAGAGAGAGAGAGAGAGAGAGACAGAGACAGAGAAACGTGGGATCCAATATTCACCTGTCCCCTTGCTTTGTGTTTTTGGTCATGGACCCAAGAGATCACTAAACAAGCTTCCCATTTCAGCGATAAGGAATTTGAGGACTAAGAGATCGTGATTTCAAGTTAACCAGATGGCTGGTGAAGCAATCAGGGGGCAGGTGGTGATCTGGGGCTGCCCATCTAATTGCCTCTAAGGAGCTCAAGCAGAGGCCAGTGGCAAGTGAGGACCAAAGGATCCAGGCTTCCTGTGTTTCTCATTATTTGCTCAGAAAAGGTGGGAGGAGAAATGTGCATTGCACATCTACCCAATATATCTCTAGAAGAACTCAAAGTTCTCTCTGTAGCAACTTTTTAGCCCTTTTTGATTATTATATTCCCGAATATTAGCCACTTTTATACCCTGGTCGCATGGTCCCCAGCTAACACAACAGCTACGACTGAGTGGGTGCTCATGAATATTACTTGAATTGAGCAAGAAGCTTATGATAGCATCCTTAGACCAGTGCTTTTTCAGAATTTAACAGGCACACAAATCCTTTGAGAATCTTGTTAAAATGCAGATTCAGAGTCAGAAGGTCTGGTTGGGGCCTGAGATTGGGCGTTTCTACCAAGTCCCCCTATGACGCTGATACTGCTGGTCCATGGTCTGTATTTTTCCAAGTCCCTGAAAATGCGACCTCCCTATCCATAAATAAAATGTAAGTCCTGCAAAGTTTGGTCATTTAACCTAAGTTTGCAAAGAAGGCATGGAAATAGATTTTTCCCCTTTTTGGTAACTCTGCCCTCCCAGTAAAAGGAGTCAATGAGACGCCAGGGTTCAGTGGAAAGAGTTGGAACCGTGCCCCCAATACCTGCTGCCTGCGCTCAGCAGTCTTCCAGAGGCGGGGAAGTGTGTAATGAGACGAAGGGGGGAAGTGTCCGGGAGCGCCCACGCCTCCTCTCCTCTTCCATTTTCAGTCCATGAGGTGCATCTGCCCCCTCCGAACCGCCGAGGTCACAGGCGAACACACCCAGCGCCGCGCCCCGCTCCGCGCCTTTGCCCGGGCGGAGACGGCCGACGCGCGTGCGTGCGCGCTCGGTATAAATAGATGGCAGGCGGCGGCCACTGGACAGAGCCAGGCTGCGGGCACCGCGGGCCATGGCGAGCGAGGGCCACCCGTCGCAGGGCAGCATCCTGTACAACATGCTCATGAGCGCCAAGCAAGTGCGAGCGACCCCGGAGCCGCCTAAGGCGCGGGTGGGGGCCGCGTGCTGGGGCTGCTCCTGTGGCTCGGAGCCCCCGGCGGGCAGAGAGGGGCTGGCCGGGGCGCCGGCCACGGTGCTTCTGTACCGCTGCTGCTTTTGCGGGGAAGACCACCCGCGGCAGGGCAGCATTCTCTACAGCTTGCTCACCAGCGCCAAGCAGACGCACGTGGTGCCGGAAGCTCCCGAGGCGCGGCCGGGGGGCGCGTGGTGGGACCGCGCTGCCAGCGCACGGAGCCTAGGGGGCCGAGAGGAGCTGCGGGGCTGGCGGCCCGGTGCACTCCCGTGCCGCTGCTGCTTTTGCGGGGAAGACCACCCGCAGCGGGGCAGCCTCCCCTACCACGTGCCCCCGGGCGCCAAGCCGATGGACTGGGCTCGAGAGGCCCCGCCGGGGACCCCCTGGTGGGACCCCGCGCGCAGCGTGTGGCGGCCGGTGGCCCTCAAGAGCCCACAGGTGGTCTGCGAGGCCGCCTCGGCGGGCCTGTTGAAGACGCTGCGTTTCGTCAAGTACTTGCCCTGTTTCCAGGTGCTCCCCCTGGACCAGCAGCTGGTGCTGCTGCGCAGCTGCTGGGCGCCGCTGCTCATGCTGGAGCTGGCTCAGGACCGCCTGAACTTTGAGACGGTGGAGACCTCTGAGCCCAGCCTGCTGCAGAGCGGCCTCGCCACCAGGCGGCGGGAGACCGCGGGCTACGAGCCGCCGCCCCAGCCCCCGCTGCCGCCGCACTCGGTCCTGCCGCTGGAGGCCGAGTATTTGCCGTCGGCCGCCGAGGTCCAGACCATCAAGGGCTTCCTTGCCAAGTGCTGGAGCCTGGATATAACTACCAAGGAGTACGCCTACCTCAAGGGGACCGTGCTCTTCAACCCGGGTAAGGGCGCCGGCCTCGGCTCTGGCTTTTCTCCGCAGTACCCACCCCGGGGCGCAGACACTCAAGAGTTTTCAGGTTAGGGGAGTTTCGGGGGAGGAATCAGGACTAACTCAGCAGAGAGAGGGGAGTTCCGGAAACCGATTCCTCCTGAGGGGCAGGGAGTGGCAGCTTCAGAAACCCCTCCGAGAGGAGGAGGGGGGCTGTTCGCTAAGGTTTGTACTTGATCTCTCGACACCTTCTTGTTACCACAGAAAAGTTTGTGGCTTGGGGCACTTGGCTATATTCCTTGTCAAATCTTTTAAATCCACTAGCATACTTTTAGAAAAGGAAAGAAAGTTTGTGTTCGCTGCAAATTCGGCCACGTCTGTTTGTGAAACTCCGCTCTGAAATTTACCAGAGGCTTTTTTGTCGGCGGAAGTCTGTTAAGGCTGGCAAGAAAAGAAACATTTGGTAAGGATCCATAGAAAGACCATCCCCTGGAAGGACTGGCAAGGACACTGGACCCAGTGTTTCGTGGGTCTGCTCTGAGTGGTCATTTTAATGGTCCTAAGTAGTTGAACTATCTCATCGTCTGAATGTGACAGGTTAGCAAAGGGATAGGAAAAAGACATGTTCAGGACTGCGAGCAGGGGCAATGTTTTAGAGCATTTAGATACCTCGTTTGTGTCTAGTCGCTAAGTCATTCGGACTCTTGCGACCTGCCAGGCTCCTCTGTCCATGGGATTTCCGAGGCCAGAATAGTGGAGGGGGTTGCCATCTCTTTCTCTTAGATACCCTGGAGACCACCTTGTCAACCCCCTGGGCCTCTCCCTCTTCCTCCATCCCTTTGGCAAATTACGTAGTCTAGTTGCAAGTGACCTTACTCCAAAGTAAGTGGTCACTGAGTTGTGGCACATGAGTCTCTTGGGCCCAAGGGGATGCCCACTGCCCCACACTCTCAGGGTGCCTGTTGCGTGCTGAACACTGCCCGGCTAAGCACAACCAAATCATCCAAGATCATCTCCCTGGACAGCCCAGCACTTTGTGTGGGCTGTTCTACACAGTGTGTTCTACTACTACAGTCATCTTCGACCAGCATCCTTCCAAGAGGGTCGTGGGTGGGCAGGAAATTTTCAGATAGTTTGAGACGGGATAGTTTTCACCATGCTTCCACTACATCCTTTATCCTGACACTAGGCATCTTGGTGTCATGTCCTTGGGGTTATGTCCTTGCTTCCTACCTAGCATGTTTGAAGTGGTCAAGAGCAGTATTTAATGGGATGATAATTCAGACCTCACATTTCATGACTTAGAGACCTCAGCTTATCCCAGTGATCATTATAGGTTACCTTTTGCTTATACCACTGTTTTCCAAACTTGCCTGTGCTCTTGGGGGTGGGGGTCATTCAAAATCTTTCCAGGTTCCTCCTCTGGAAGTTCTGATTCAGTAGCTCTGGTCCAAGGTTTGCAAATGCGCATCCATAGTAATGGATTCTCACATGGTTCTTAAGATCTTTGGGAAGACTGTTTTCTTGCTCCTTCAGGCATGTTATTAGACATCTACCATGTGCTTTGTTCTGCTGGAATAAAAAGGTAAGACAAACTCTAAGCTTTCAGAAGTTTACATCCCACTGGCTTACCTTTTCCTCCACCTTGTTTTGCATCCCTCATTCTTCCCCTGCTTTTCTGAATTCTCTCTCAAAGGAGTCTAACCCACCCAAGCTGGGTATGCTTTAAATACAAATATACTTTATCTGGGAAAAAGTATTGCCTGCTAAGTGTGTGGCCTTTCTTTGGTGTTTATCATTTTGTATCCCCTGATCTTTATGTTTAAAAATGTCCCTCCCCTCTCCCATGGAGTCCATCAATCTGCCTTTCTCTTTCCTCAAATTACTTTCAAGGCAGGTCTTGGTGGGGCAGCAGGGGCGGGGTGGGGGGGAGAGCACTTTTAGAGGAGGATGGAGAAAGAGGAGTGTGGTATGAAAGCAGAAAAGAGCAGAGTTCACAAGATGAAGTTTTAATAAACCATGAATTTAGACCAGGTGGAACTTCCGATTTTGGTGGTTTCATGCAAGCTTCTTCTGAAGCTAGAGGAGCCCAGCAGGCTACAGTCCATGGGGTCACAAGAGAGTCGGACTTGACTTAGCAACTAAACAACAAAACAACATGAATGGAATCCCAGCACAGTAAAATTGGGTCTCAAGCCTGGATAATGAACTGTAGGTAGTAGGGGATGGTAATGCATGGACTGGGGTAATCAGAATTGGAATATGGATTAGAGATGTTGCTGTATTTTTGTTCTCATTGGTCAGATTTGATACTTGCCTATAATAGAAATAACTTGCCTATTGCCAGTATTTTTTTTAAAAAGGACACTGGCTGGTTCTCTTACTCTGACAATGAGCATGATGCTTTTAAAATACTTTTCTGTTGGATTCATAGAAAATGGGAAGGAAAATGATTACAATAATGAATACCATTTAAATTGACTGGTAAATTGGTACTTACTTAAATACAAGTTAAAGAGTTTACAGTAATATTACCATTGTGTAGGATTAAAGGACTTTTAGAAGTAGCCTCCTCTTACCACCCTCTTTATAAAACTTAACAGGCATTTAATCTTCCCTATATTGTGTTTCATTCTATTTTACTTGGGTCTCAGGCTGTACTGCAAGAAGGTCAGGCAGTCTCTATTTGAAAAGTTACTTTTGCACCATGTTGCAATCAATGATGTTTTCATGCTTACTCTTTAACCCTTTAATGGCTATAAGACAGTGCTTTCAAAGACTGCTTTAAAATGTTTTTTAAAGAGCCTTTTGGAATGCTCGTTAGAATCCATTTGTAAAGTTTTTTTGATGTGGACCATTTTTAAAGTCTTTATTGAATTTTTTACAATACTGTTTATGTTTTGGTTTTTTGGCCACAAGGCATGTGAAATCTTAGCTCCCAGCCAGGGATCAAGCCTGCACACCCCTGCACTGATCCAAGTCTTAATCACTGGACCACCAGGGAAGTCCCTGAATCACTTTTTAAAAAACCTTCCCCAATACAGAAATCATGGTAGGATGAACTAAGTGGCCAGTATTAACTCTTAAATTATTATGGAACTCCAGACTAAAATGAGCCTGCAGGCAAATAATTAAAATGAGACTGTCAGTCACAGTTGGCATCTGTGAAGCCCACCACCATGGGCTGTAATCATTACAGTGGTGGGAAATTCAAGGGAGGATGGTGAAATATTAGCTGGCAAAACTTCTCACCTTTATACTAAGGCCCATTTCCTGTAGGTAAAAAGTAAGGTGCACACTTCTTGAAATAATTTTAATGTCTTTGTATGTGCACAGAGAGTGAACTGGGGCAGTGCTACTCATTAAACTATATTCAACTGTCCTACTGAATTAAATATGCATTTGCCTCAGGACCAGCAGTTTTTGAATATGAGCATACAAACATAGTAACTATTCAATAAGTCACATGATGTTTCCTTCTTGGAGGCTTTGCTCCTGAAACCTTAGAACTGGTTTGGCACTTACTTTGTTGAAAAGAACTTTTAACCAGGAAGCTTGAACATTGTTTTAATTGCCGTGTGTATGTGCACAGTTGCTTCAGTTGTGTACTACTGTTCGTAACCCCATGACTGTAGCCCGCCAGGCTCCTCTGTCCATGGGATTTCCCAGGCAAGAACACTGGGGTGGGTTGTCATGTCCTTCCCCCGGGGATCTTCCCAACCCAGAGATCAAACTCAAGCCTCCGGCACTGGCAGGTGAATTCTTTGCCACTGAGCCACCTGAGAAGCCCCCCACCCCCATCCCTAAATATCATTGTGGTTCAGTCACTTAATCATGTCCAACTCTTTGTGACCCCATGGACTGCAGCACGCCAGGCTCCTCTGTCCATGGGATTTCCTAGGTGGGAATACTAGAGTGGGTTGTCATTTCCTCTAGGAGTCAAAAGGATCTATTGAAAAAGCTAGTCAAGGGTTCTGAGTGAGTGTTTCTAAACTAGAGATTTTCCGCCCTTTTTCTCCTGCAGACCTGCCAGGCCTGCAGTGCGTGAAGTACATCCAGGGACTTCAGTGGGGAACTCAACAGATACTGAGCGAACACATCAGGATGACACACGGGATGTACCAGGCCAGATTCGCCGAACTGAACAGTGCCCTCTTCCTTCTGAGATTCATCAGCGCCAACACCCTGGCCGAACTGTTCTTCAGGCCCATCATTGGTGCAGTCAGTATGGACGATATGATGCTGGAGATGCTCTGTGCAAAGTTGTGAAGGCACACGGGCCACACATGTGCTGTTCACCATGAAGCACAATGGAGCAGCTCTGGGCAGAAGTGTAAAACGGTGTAAAATAAAGGTTCTTATTATTTTTACACACAGTATTTTTGTAGTCCATTAAAGAAAGACTCTAGTTACAGACGATTAGAAAATCCTCTGTTCCATGCTGCATCACTGCAAAGGGAAGTGTTTCCCAATAGGAAACACATCTCTGTACATCTTTTAAAGACAGAGCAGGGGTTTGCACTCATACACTATTTTTGTCACAGTCTCTCCATTGAACCTGCTGAAATCAAATTTGTAACATTAAGTTGTAATGTTAAGTTGTTAACCACTCATTTTGTTGCAAAAATTTTCATCAGGGTTTAAGGACAGTTTCAAAAAATATTAAACACCTAGGCATTGTAAACAAAAATTAACTTTTGTAGGTTTACTCTGCCTCTTTGCCATTCCCATTAGCTGTGGGGAAGACTGTCTTTGTACAAAGTCGAGTGGAAATCTCTGATCAGAGAGGTACCTGAAAGTGAAATAGGAGGCTTTTCAGAGTTTTAGTGTGGGGTTTTTCTGTACACAGTAAATAAAGTTCAAGAAACTTATATTCTATAAGGAGGCTCTATAGTTCCAGAAAATCAACATCATTCTAAATCCCCAATTTTATCTCACCTTTTTGATGCATTACATATATAACTATCGCATTGAATGAGCATGGTATGAAATATAAAGTGACTTTATCGTTGGCTCCTGCTGCCTCTTTAAATGCAATCAATGAAGCTAGTTCTTCCTTGTCCCTGGATAAAATTTAGGGCACTAAATGTTTATTCACATAGGTAATGAATTGCTCATAAGTGATTAATACATCTAGTCCAGGTTAATAACACATTGCAAGGACTCTAGATATTTCTTTTGTGCAAACTTCTTTGGCAGTGTGATACATCTATGGACATCTTCTCAGAATAAGGCTCTTGATAATGCAGCAAATAAAATACTTAGGATTCCAAAGAAAATGAGTTATGTCAAAAGATAGTATTAAGAATGTTAAGCTTTTCTTATGTACAGCAGAGTGACTCAGGTATGCACAGATACATTCCGTTTTATACTCTTCTCCATTATGGTTTATCCCAGGACATTAAATACAGCTCCCTGTGTTACTTAATAGAAACTTGTTGTCTATCCACCCTATAAATCAACTGTACTTCAATAAAAACATTAGATTTTTAAAAGATACTTTGAAATGTATGAAATGTATGTTCTTTACACATTACAAAACTATCTGGTGGCAGGTCTCATGTCTAAATTTCAGGGCAGTGATCAATACAATTGAAATTTCAAAATAATCATCTAAATTGTAATAAGAAAATATTTGAGATATCCTTTGGTGGCTGTGTTGGGAGGCCCCAAGATCACCATCCCACTCAGGGATCTGCCAGGTCTCGTGGGCCTCTGCCTATAGCTGTCTTTAGGGCTAAGACTTACACAGAGATGTGGTAAGGATATACAGGCTGATCATAAGGGTAAAAGACACAGGCAGAGCCTGGGGGAATCCACATGTAGAGTTCCTTTTGCTCTCCCCCTCCCTTGGGGGATCACAAGCATGCTTTTCCTAGCAGTGAAAATTCAGCAATGTGTGTGTGATACCTCTGCCCACAGAAGCCCTTTGAGACTCAGAATTTAGGGTTTCTCTTGAGGGCTAGTCACATAGTCACCCTTGACCTAAGAGGTACCAAAATCCCAAATACACAGTAAAGAAGCAGGGGCTCAGCATAAACCCCATTGTTGGCATCAACCGTCTAGGCCCAGAGAGCCATTCCTACGAGCTAGGGAAAGGAGGGAAGAGAATACTCCCTAAACCAAAGTTCCCAGATGTCAGCCAAGGGCCAACCCTGCAAGCAGGTCCTTCTAGATAGCAGTCTCACTCTTGCTCTGTGAACTTGTCTTCACAATCCACTCCCTTGGCCCTTGGCTGAAGAGTCTTTACAGAATTATGATCAGTAGAACCCAACACATCAGGGAGAGGCCAACCTGTAGAAGTGATCTCCACAAAGCCAGTTAAAGCACATCCCATTACCCAAAAAGGTCCATCTTAGAAAGCTGAGGGCCTTCCTCTATGACTTTGTCTGAACCTTTTTTTTTAAAGCTGGCCAGAGACATCAATTCAGGACCCAGCATAGCTTTGGCCAGGAAGGAGAGGCTAACCCCAAAGCCCTGCAGTGTCACAATCGTCAGGGCACACATCCAAGATGTTCAATCCCTGACTGTGCATGTGTCCCCTGGAAACAGAATTTCTGATGTTCTGGCACACCACAGAGGACATGCATGGGGCAGGCAGGATGAGCTCATAGTGTCCCCAGAGTGGCTTCCCACCAAGGTTCCTCTTGTCCTCTGGTTCTCAAACTGTATGATTCAGAAGTCATTCAATTCAGTCCTTGCTCTCAGAGGGACTGCCTGAGGCGGTCTATTCCAAAGTTCATCACCTGCCAGAGGGTGAACTGCATTTGGAAGTAGTGAGTGGGGACCGCAAAAGAGGCGGGCCCTCTCACAGTCAAAGTCATAAGCCCTCTGGGCTTGGCCACCCATCTGAATCTGACTCACTACCACAGCAGCTTTCTAGGTAGCCCGAAGGAATGTTTTTTCTTCAGAAAGAGCAGAAAGCTCCCAGAAGCAGTTCTGAAAAGCAAAGATCCTGAATGCCTCACCCCCACCCTACGCCTACTTAGGTTTTGAAGGTTTTTTGTTGTTCTACATCTCCACTGTTACAAGATCTGTGAGCTCAATCACCAATCCTAACTTTACACTTTTTCCTAACTAGTTTTTTTTGGTCCAGACCTTTTGCTTGCGAGAGGGACACAAGCATTTTCACAGGACATTCTTACAGCCGAAACAAAAAGACACATCATATTCAGGAACCAATCAGGGTGAAATTGAAACCAAGTCCAACTAAAACCAAGTATCCTTACCAAGTTTATGATTACTCTCTCCATCCAAAACTTTATTTCCTTTCTTGTGCCCTCTGACCTCAATCCTGTGCTAACTGAACACTAATCAACCAGTTAGATGACTAAAATTGCTGTTAAGAACATCATTAACGTAATACAGCTGCTATTATAAATATTACCATTAATGTACAAATTCAGCTTATTTCTCCCGGGCAAAATGAACTCATAGACCCCCGAGCCATGGTCCACCTGGCCAGTGATTCATAAACCAGAGACATCCTGACTCCCAAAACCATGGTTCAGAAATGGTCATAAGACAATGATTAATCCCAGCCTTTGTTTCTCCCCTTTAAAACATCCCTAAAAATGCGGTACATATATGCAATGGAATACTACTCATTCATTTAAAAAAAATGAAATAATGCCACTTGCAGCAATATGGATGGAACTAGAGATTATCATATAAGTGAAGTAAGTCAGACAGAGAAAGACAAATACCATATGATATCACTTACATGTGGAATCTAAAATGTGACACAAAAAAGATCTTATCTAAGAAATAGAAACAGACTCACAGCATAGAGAACAGACTTGTGGTTGCCAAGGTGGGTGGGGATGGATTGAGAGTTTGGGATTAATAGATACAAACTATTATATATAGAATGGATAAACAACAAGGTCCTACTGTGTAGCACAGGAAACTATATTCAATATCCTGTGATAAACCATAATGGAAAAGAATATTAAAAAGAATATAGACAATAAAGAAGTAATGCAGGAGACCTGGGTTCGATTCTGGGTTGAGAAGATCCCCTGGAGGAGGGCATGCCAACCCACTTCAGTATTCTTGCCTGGAGCATCCCCATGGACAGAGGAGTCTTATGGGCTACAGTCCATGGGGTCACAAAGAGTTGGATGTGACTGAGCACAGCACAATGGATAGCTGAATCACTTCGCTACGCAGCAGAAATTAACACAACACTGTAAATCAACTATACGTCAATAAAATAAATTTAAAAATAAAAAATAAAACATCCCTAACTCAAAGACCAAGTTGGACAGGATCTGAGGCTTGTCTCCTACTCCCTTGTTTGCATGTGTGTGTGTGTGTGTGTGTGTGTTAGTCACTCACTCGTGTCCAAGTCTTGGCAATCCCGTGGACTATAGCCCACCAGGCTCCTCTGTCTAGATAAGAATACTGGGGTGGGTTGCCACTCCCTTCTCCAGGGGATCTTCCTAACCCAGGAATCGAACCTCAGTCTCCTGCATTGCAGGTAGATTCTTTACCATCTGAGCCATCAGGGAAGGCCACTCCCTTGACTGGCATCCTACAAATAAACTCTTACTTTCCTGCAAACACCCACTGTCAGAGTTTGGGTTTCTGTGCCATGGACACATGAGCCTTTGCTTGATAACAAAAGTCTGATTTTTTAACATTTTGAAAAAATAGATTTATATACCTCCCCCTTCCCCCATGCCTCTTGCCCTGATCATTTATCTGGTGAGCAGCCTAGAAAAGATCAAACCCTTTGTGAAGACTGCTGCACTGAATGGTCCAAGGGCCTTCTTAAAGCCTGGGCAGCAGGAGAAAGGTAAGGGAGGTGCAGTCAGGTTGTCAGTCCACTGCTGCAAATTGTAGCTCATCTGGGAAAGCAGAACATCAGTCAACAGCAGTGAGGCCTCTCTCCTTACCACCCTTCCCTGAACAGGGGTTCCAGAGTTGGATCTGCCAGCTGGGCAGAGGGGTCCCCATGAGTGCCCTCCCACAAGCTGCAGCTTTCAGCAGGAAGCACAAGTGAGGAATGCCATCAAGCTCTGCATCTGAACTACAGAGCACCTGCAGCTCTATTTCAAATGGGCCCCTTGAAGAATCACCCTCACTCTGGGGCATCTGTAAGTGACCCAGCTAGTCCAGCCAGCATCCAGATGTTTTCAGAGCTAGGACTCCACAGAGTGGTGTCCTACTGTTAGGGCCCCACAGAGTAGAGTCCTACTGTTTTGATGACTATAGCTTTGTAGAGTAGTCTGAAGTCAGGGCACCTGATTCTTCCAGCCCTGTTTTTCTTTCTCAAAATCGCTTTGGCTATTTGGGGTCTTTTGTGTTTCCATACAAAGTTTCAGGTTTTCTGTTCTAGTTCTGTGGAAAATGCCATTGGTAATTTGATAGG